AACATATCTGATTAGAATAAACAAAGAGAATTTTAAAGCAATGTAGTCAATGTATATAAAAGAGGGGCAAGAATTAGGGATTAATTAAGTTAACAATCCTTGAGTGAAGAATCTGCCATTTTAGAAAGGGAAGTAAAAGCTGCTGACAAAGCAGTTTGAAGAAATAAATCACCAGGAATAGACAAGTCAGCAATAGAACTATTTTAAGATACAGAGACTGTGTATCTATTAGAATTTTAAAGTTAAGGCAAAACAACAGCCCACAGACTAGAAACATTCAATATACATTCCAGTCCCAAGGCAACTATATTCCAAATACTGCAGTAAGTATATGTAAAGGTAAGTTGTGTCCGACTCTAGGGCGCAGTGCTCATCCCCATTTCCAAGCCATAGAGCCAGTGTTTGTCCAAAGACAGTTTCCATGTCATATGGCCAGCGCAAGTAGACATGGAACGCCATTACCTTCCCAACCGAGGTGGCACCTATTTATTTACTTGCATTTTTGCATGCTTTTGAACTGCTAGGTTGGCAGGAGCTGGGATAAGCGATGGGAACTCACTCCATCGGGTGGATTCAATCTTACGACTACTGGTCTTCTGCGGTTTAACCCACAGTACAGAGGCTTCTGCGGTTTAACCTGCAGTGCCACCACGTCCCTTCATATGTAAGTAAGTATAGAATACATTAAACATGAAAATTAAGTGATGCTCAACATTTTATTTTATAACAATGATTTCTCTCATGTCTGGAGTAAGAAATGCCAGATGTACAAGCTGAATTCAGTAAAGGAAAAGGTAGTAGAGACATATCGCAAATTCTGGCTACTTGAGCATACCAAACATTTATTTGTGATTTATAAATTATAATAAAGTTGTTGACAGATCATGAAAAAGTGAATAATGAAAACTATGGGCTGGTCTAAAATAAAAGAGTGTGGCACAACATTTTAATCTTGTAATTGTATTTTAAACCACATATTGTTTAATTTATCTTTTACGATTTAACTTATTGTGCTTTTAAATTGTATGAATTTTAATGTTGTGAGCCGCCTTGGGTCCCTTGTTGGGAGAAATGTACCATATAAATAAAACTAATAATAATAACAACAATAATAACAATAACAATAAGTTTGTTAAACTCATTTTTAAATATTAGAATATTAGCTTAACAATGAGTTCAAAAAGTTAAACCATTGTGACTAGCATTAATGGTGAAACTGTTTAATTTGTTATGGTCATAATTACCTCAGCCAGAACCCAATCACTTGTTTAAATCAGTGCAACTCCACTGCCATAATGTGCAACAGTAAAGTGCCACAATGTGAAAAGGGAGGGGATGAAGGCATGTGGTTGGTGTGTGATAAGAAATGCCTACACTAGATTCTTAAATTGTAGTGATTTGCTCTTAAAACATACATCAGCAGGTGTAACCAGCAGAAGCCTGGCTGTTACTTGTAATTTCTGTAAGAAACCACAAGGCCTGAGTACCATAGGGCTATGCAAAGCCTTTAAGGACTGCAAATCACAACTTATTTCATTATAGAACATATCTAGGCTTTCAAATAACTCCTTGACTTCAACTACAAACGTAAAAGCAAAAGAAGGAACAAAATAATATTTCATTAGGATAAATAAAAATACATAAAAATTAAGATGTATGGGGCTCAATAGTTTTACCTCATTATTTAAAAATGCCCTCAACAAGCTGATATATTATTCTTAATGTGATATTTCCGAGTTCTGTTAAAAATAAAGTTGAAAAAGAAACCCCACATATTTTTGGTTTGACCAGTTTCCCAAAATAATAAATTTGTTATTCACTCTGCCCCCGTCTCTCCCTCTCAGATGGAGATGATAACATACTGGCCTATTTTATAAAGTTCTTCTGAGAAATACTCAGAAAATGCACAGTGTACAAACAATGAACTTTATGTTTTGGATTTATTGTTGTTTAACAATGAAGGATTCCCCCCCTTCATTAGCTACAAGTTTAAATCAGGACAGATCAAGAGGCATTTCTTCTTTTTAAAAGCAGTGTAAGTGTATACAAGCCTAGTGTAAGTCCAAATGATGTTTAGCCTGCATTTGAAGTCTTTCTGCTTTGCTGATTGTATAGGTTAAATATATAACATACATATGATAGCCTCTATTCAAATGTCTAATAGAAACCACAGAATGTTCATTACACCTGAAAGAATCTTCCCCTTCCCTCTCCATTCTCATTAGTTCACCGATGTCCATTATTGGATACAGGCCTTTTTTGCTTCCATAAATTTGTTTTGCACTGTTCTAAGCCATCAAATGGAGTCTTGCTGATCTTTTGAAATCATCCATCCATCTTTTTATAGTCTTACTCTACTCCATCTTCCAATCTCAGATGCATTTCTTTATTCCACTCCCCATCTAATTGTCTAATGGTGTGTGGTCTGCCTATCTCCATTTTAATTATGCTATTTTCTCTTTTACATCTATTTTTTTGGTCAAACAACCTGATTTCTTTCTTCATCTGATATTTAGCATGGTTAATACATTTTCATAATGTGCCAACTTCATCTACTAGTTTTGTTTTCTGCATATTTCCATTAAAATATATCCAAAGTTAAGGAATCCCTGCTCCCTGCTACAAGCTGCCCTTGATTCTCCCCGATTCCCCATCGCTAGTGCAGTTTTTTTTCCCTACAACACCAGACCTTCCTGAGTCCACCCACACTCTTGAGAAGGCACAGAAAAATGGAAGGATGAGAAGGGGAAAGAAATTGCCCTTGAACAGATGTCTTTTCAGTGAGCTGACACAAGAAGTTAGAACAAGAAATTCTTATTCTGTGCAGCAGAAGAATCATTATCAATCTCAGCTTAAATACTTAGTACTGTTTTCCCCACCATCTGCCTGCCCCAGATCATCATATTTTTGACTATTTTATTTCTGTTGCTACATCCAAGGGAAAAAAACATCTCTGTATCAGTTTTCCACAACTAGAAAGCAAGATTGAAGCATTCTCCCTTTCCCAACATGGTGAGAATATTTTACCTTTGATCTTGACTTGCCATTTTCTCCAGTAGAAGACATGTCTTTGATTGCCTCTGGTGGCATATAATTAACTGTGCCAATCTAACAGTATAAAAATAGGATTAAAAACATTTAATAAGATTTAATGCATTTAATTGCTCCTGCTTTCTTTGAAAGCTCAATTTAAAAAAGGCCTTGAAAAGCATGCTTCTACCCTGTTTCCCCAAAAATAAGACCTAATCTGAAAATAAGCCCTAGTATGATTTTTCAGGGTGCTCATAATATGAGACTTACTACAAAAATAAGCCCCAGTTAAGTGAAACCCCGCCTTCCACCATTGTGCAGCAACCAGAAGATGACATGACTGCATTTGAATAAATGTAGATTGTTGTATATGGAAAAAAAATCCCCTGAAAATAAGCCCTAATGCGTTTTTGGAGCAAAAATTAACATAAGACCCTGTCTTATTTTCAGGGAAACACGGTAAAAAACAAACACATGAACAAACAAAAGCCCACATAATTTTATTATTAATCTTCTTGAAACTCCAGTTGTAAGATAGATGGGCTTCAGCAAAAGGAGACAAGAAGCAGAATTATGATAAGTTCATCAGAAAAATGTGCATAGATGCGAAAGCTTATCTAGAGCAACTGTAAATTTCTAAAAAAAACCTTTTACATAAAAAAACTTGACACTATCTTGATTTGTCAGGCAAAATTGTGTTGCAAACAATTACACACAATCTAATTCTATGCTGAATGATGCAAGTGTTGGCCAGGATCCAATGTTGTACTTCCTTTAGATCAGTTGGGCAATTTTAATGGATCCAGAAGCCAGGACCCTCCAGGTGTTGCACACACTGCTGAAGTACAGCAAAAATGAAATTGCAAGTGGCTACCAGCCCACTTTAACTTTAGAAATCTTGGCATTTTGAGTGTTTAATGTTGTGGGAGACCACCATGACCCATTTCAAAGGCAAATCAACACCCCAGACGCTTCCAGGAGCATCATTTCACCTTTTTAGCTAGAAAAGAAGTCTGCATCCCATGGAAAACAGTTGTGGGGTCTATAGAGAGCAGACTTGCATCTTGCCCACCCCTGCTCTAGATACTGCTACTTGCACTCAAACCGGTGGTCTCCCCTCGCTCCTACAGCCTCCTGTACACACTCTGCTCTGGCAGGGTGGGAACCTTCTGGAGGCAAAGAGGACTGCAATGGGAGGAGAAAAGTGGTGTTTTCAGTGGTGTTATAGAAGTACACAGTCGGACCTTAACAGATATGTATAGCAGATATGAAAAATAAAGAATAAATGGAAGTGGGGAGGAGAGCCATGTATCCTGCTTTGAGCTCACTGAAAGAAAGGTGAGGTATAAATATAATGAAGAACAACGTGGATAATTTATAAATCCATATGTATAAATAAATATTTATAAATCAATATTAATAAAGATTACTAGTTTATAAATTATTCATGTATCAAAATGGTTTTCTCTGGCTATATGCCCAATCCTCTATCACAGGAAAACCACTGATGATGATGATGATGATGATGATGATGATAATAATAATATAATTTATTGTCATTGTAAGTATATACACAGTATACCCATACAACAAAATTCACAGACACCCAGAGACCAGACACATAGCAGTACTCGCCAGATTTAGAATCTGTGACAAAAGTAACAGACCCACAATAATTGCAAGATCACAGGTAGGATGGGTGACTGTGACAGTTTCTTCACAACCCTGTTTTCTTATATCAAATTCTCCCTCTTAACCAAGTTAAGAAATAGATTTTTACAGGTGTTAACAATGTTTAAGGCTAAACAGGTGCTAACCTTGTTTAAAAATCCGATAAAATAAAAAGCCACATCTTTGTTAACAACAGTTAATAACTTCATCCAGATATATACTTATTAAATGCTGCTAAGACAGGAGGGAAGAACCCATTCTAGGGAATGAAGGTGCAGTGGCTCCTGATGTGTTAACCTCAGAGGTGGTTGTATACATAAGCTATGGAAAACTGTGGTTTCCCAGTTCATATTGAATCCAGCAACCAAAATCCTAAGAGCCTCTACTTTACCCAGGCCTTCCATTAAGGCGTGACAATTGCCACAAAGACATAAACTGCTTTGCTCTGGTCCTGATATCCACATAGTCTCCCTCTTCACATTTTACAAATATGGATACTGACTCACTCAGGACAACCATATTATGTTATAAGTATTAAAGTACTGTATTTTTCGCACCATAAGACGCACTTTTTCCCCACAAAACAGGGGGATGGAAAGTCTGTGCGTCTTATGGAGCGAAGAAAACAGATTATATTTTCCTGTTTTCTTCTCCTAAAAAATTGGTGCGTCTTATGGAAAGGTGCGTCTTATGGAGCGAAAAATACGGGGTAATACAAAGATGCCACAAAAGACTCACCTGTGAATCTTTAACAATGCTAGTCACATCTGGCTGCATTTGGTTTGCAATGCCAAAATCTATCAGTTTTAGCATTCCGTCCACTAATAAAAAGTTTGCGGGCTTCAGATCACTATGAACAATACCTTTAAATTAAGATATCTTCAGTTAGTCCAAATCAACATTCAAATTTCAGAATTCAATTACTAGGACAAATATTTCTCTTCTCATCCTGCCTGCCTGCCCCCATGCTAGTACACAAGGGAAATCCATATTCTAAGTAGTACCAATCAGAATGCAGTGTTTTCACATTCCTGACACCACATCCAAGAGACTGCAATCTGGCTGCAGTATTCACCCTTCCACTGTAGAATTTTTTCCCTCTTAAAAATGCAGAACCAAACCAAATTCTGCAGCATTAGTACTGGATCATACACATCACATCCATGGAAAGGAGAACATAAGGTATCCAACACATTATTTAAACACTGCATGGATTTTTGTACATGAATTCAAATTTGTAAATCAGAACGAAATTTGCACAAATTGCCCTGCCAGCCAAGATGAATGGCAGTATATAAATAAGAGGGAATGTATGTAAACCTCCAGCCAACTGGAATCACCCCAGGTGATACATTTTGGAGTTTAGTCATCAGCTTCCTTTGTCTGAATAATTAACTACAGATGTTTCTTAAAATGTTGTCTTGTTAACACAGAGTTAACACCAATTTTTCATAATGGACTAAATTGACGATTAAGGAGAAAGTAATGTTGTTTTCCTTATGTGCTCGCCCTACACAAAAATTAACAGCAAAAGTAATAAAAAAGAATGGTGGTGTCTGGAGAAATTGAAGGGATTGCCATTTTTCTTTTTCCAGTGCATCAACTCATGTCTCAATGAATCCTGCAGTGGCGTCCAGGAGCAGCCTTGCTTAAGTGGCAAGCATGGAGGTAAAAAGCCTTCTTATATGCATACAATGTAATGTGTGAACTAGAGATGGGGCTATTCGTATTTGAATATCCCCCCACAGGTGGAAATAACATTTGACTGTCCACTCACCATTCTGCCACTGGTGCAAGCTTGACGGAGCCTTTCTATCGTGCTGTTGTTCACAATGGATTAGCCACTCTGCGACCTAGCAGAGGCTTGTCATCCTGCCTCCTGCCAGGAGTGGCTAATCTATTGCAGGGGCACAACAGGAAGGCTCTGTCAAGCTCCTGTCAGTGGGGGAATGGTTATTTCCACCTATGGGGGGATATCTGTATATGAATACAAGTATCCCCATCTCTAATGTGAACCTTTGGATTACACGAATAAATGCTTAAAACTATCTGCATTAAAAGCTGACTATTTAGTGGTAGTAATAATGGTTCTTTAGGTGGAGAAAAAAGAGAAAAAGAAAAGAAAAAGAAAAAAGTAGGAACAGAAATAGAAGAGAAACAGAACTGACCGAGGACTGCAAATGGTTTGAAGGACTTTCAACTGCATATTTGGAAACAGAAGACAATGTGTTTTGGTTTCCATTGATTATTGCAACATCAACGGAAGCAAAAGCTTATTGTTGTCTGTTTCTAAGAAACAGAAAGAAGTGAAGTCAGGTGTGCAGTGTGGCAATGCCTGAAAATGTCACACCTGCCAAATTTCCAAAGGTTTTCTGGCTGCTTATGAGGAGACTAAGGCAGTGCATAGGAGGAAAGTTTGTGGGTCATTCCATGTCAAATCAACCAATGCATGGAACCTTGATGTCATGGATTTGGTTCATTTTTGTACATTTGTACCTTACCATGAGATGTTTAAAAAAAAGTTTTTTCCTGATTTTTTGGTCCACCCATTTCTGAGATACTGCATTTTCAAAATTGCAAAAAAAGCCAAAATTCACTAGCCACCATAACTTAATCTCTTCTCTGCTATTTGTAAGGCCTTGTTGGACAGTCACTTTAAAGCTTATGGATAAGACTTTCATGTGATATACAACATGATGCAATTGTACATTTTCAAAAAAATTACACATTTTTTAAAAAATTAAAATTCGAATTTTCAGGAAACTGAAAAATGTTTAACGTTTTTAAAAAATCACACTTAAAGATACATGTCTTGTAGCCAATCAATCCAAATTCCAGACTGGTATCTCATTGTTATCATATAAAACCATAACTTTGACTATGTGGACCTTTGTCAGCAAGGTGATGTTTCTGCTTTTTTAGATGCTGCTAGGTCTGTCATTGCTTTCCTCCCAAGAAGCAGGTGTCTTAATTTCATGGCTGCTGTCACTATCTGCAGTGATCATGGAGCAATCCTTTTATAATATTTTTTTGGATTCATTTCTGTTTACCACAGAATTTTATCAATATACATTGTAAAAAAAATAGACTTGAGGGGTTTTAAATCCTTGTCACGGCCAACAAGAAAATTTAATTTTTTCCAGTAGTGATGTATAGAAGTGAGAGCTGGATCATAAAGAAGGCTGACCACCGAAGAATTGATACTTCTGACTTGTGTTGCCGGAGGAGACTCTTGAGAGTCTCCTGGACTGCAAAGAGATCAAACATATCCATTCTGAAGGAATGAGTGCTCACTGGAAGGGCAGATCCTGAAGCTGAGGCTTCAATACTTTGGCCACCTCAAGAGAAATCTCTGTGGAAAACACTCTGGTGTTGGGAAAGTGTGAAGGCAAGAGGAGAAGAGGACGACAAAGGACGAGATGGTTGGACAATGTCATCGAAGCTACCAACATGAATTTGACCCAACTCTGGAAGGCAGTGGAAGACAGGAGAGCCTGGCGTGCTTGGGTCCATGGGGTCACGAAGAGTCAGACACAACTTAATGACTAAACAACAGCACATGGCAAAGGAGTTTGTGATGGTGTTGGAGGCATAGTGAAGAGACTTGCAGCAAAGGCCAGCCTTCAAAACCCACTCTCAAATCAGATAATGACACCTCAACAGTTGAGTGGGGGAAGGCAACAATCCATGCAATAAGGTTTTTTTATATTACAAATTATGAACACCTGGATGTAAATTTTGATCATTTAAATGGTCTTGTGGCATGTGCCTATGACAACTCATGGTGGGTGGGATGTGTTCTTTCAATGGATGCTGCAGAACATGAAGTCAAGCTATCATTCTTACATCCAGCTGGGCCAGCAACATCATTCTCTTATCCTAGGAAACCAGATGTTCTTACAGTGCCAGGAAATTTCATTCTTTGCAAACTGGATCCAATTACAGCCACAGGGAGAACATATTGTATATCACATGAAAGGACTATTCATAAGCTTTAAAATGACACCTGTTCCAGGTCTGTAGCTATCATAGGTATCTATTAAATGATATTTAACGTTATGGTGGCTAGTGAATTTTGGCTTTGCAAATATGAAAATGTAGTATCTCAGAAATGGGTGGACCAAAAAAACCTGAATTTTTTTTTAAAAAATTTCATGGTAAGGTACAAATGTACCAAAAATGAACCAAATCCATGACATCAAGGTTCCATGCATTGGTTGATTTGACATGGAATGACCCTCATGGAAAGATTTAGGAGAACATTTGCATACAGTGGGCAAAACCCTATTAGTTACACTAGCCTGGGGAGATAATGCAATAGCAAATGTTTACACAAATTTTGTCACTTGTGGCAATTTTTCAATGAGACTTAAAGCATCACACCACCATAAAACCACAAGAAGATGTTGGCCAATGTAAAGAAAAGCCAAAAAGTTTAAAATCCTAAATAATCACAAAGAAATTGAGGATCCTGCTTTTGCAATGCATTTGCCAAAGGAGCTCGTTTGGGGTGAACCCTCAAACCACACAAAGAACATTTATCTATATGGCTAAGCATTTTAAAAATTCTGGTGAATTTGACTCCATTTCTGCTTTTATTGTCCTACTATTTTATTGTTATTTATAATAATAATTTATTGTCATTGTAAGTATATACACATACAACGAAATTCACTTTCTTACTCTTTATATTGTTTTAACTTTTTTACATGCTTTTAAAGCTCTTCTCATGAACAACAAAGTTAAAGGGTTGGTTAGAAATGTTTCAAACAAAAAACAAAACCAGCTTTCACAGATACCATGTTGGTGGATCGTATGGACGGCTTCTAACATATTTTTCCAATAGCTCTTCCGCTCCCATGGATTGACTGTCTTTTTCTTTTTAAGCCAGCTATTCAGATCAATATTTCCACATTCCATCAACATGTAGATACTCTTCTCACCAATTTCACTACAACAAGATTGTTATAAAAGTTATGAAGTGAAATTTCGGAATGCATAGGATGGGGGGGTGAGAATCAGAGGATCTATGCAAATATTTACTCACTAGTCATACAGCCGGATGATCTTATCACTATGTTGCTGAAGTTTATTTAAATGAGCAATTTCATTTTTATAGCTTTCTATAGTCTGATGATCTGCCTCTTCTAGATTCACATATTTGATGGCATAAAGCTGCTTTTTTTCATCAAGTACTTGGAATACCTAGGAGGAAAGCAGTTTATAGGAAGGATAGGTTTTGACTTACATGACTAAATGCTTAAAACTAAAAGCATTCCCAACATTTACTCAAAATATTTCATAGGACTTGCATATTTGTAGTACTTCCACTCCAAGAATGTGCCCAATTCCCTCCACCTACAGGCAGATCATTCCTTCCTACCTTCCTATTCCCATGCCATTTCTTTTTCTAACTAGTAAAGAATAATTCTAACAGATTTTTTTTCTTTTATAGGTAGATCCCTGAATTTTGTTTAGCATTTGTTAAAGAAGAGCAATGTGAACACACCAAATAATAATTATATCCGCATGATGAGACTGAGCACATTTATTCCCATGGATAACCAAGGATGTCAACTTCCCAGGCCCACCTCAGTAAATACAGCACATGGATAATCCAGGTAGTGTGGCAGAGCCAAATCTTGAACAGGGAGAACCTGGATTCAGAGAGGTGCACTGAGTTATCCTTGGCTGGTCATTATTTCTCAGGCAAATCCTCCACAAAGGACTGACAGATAGCATGTAGTGTAAATCATACTCAATGACTTAGCACACAGGTAGACCACAAGATCCCCAGGGCTATTTCGGGCATATCTCAAAGCCTCCTGAGAGCTCCCCATTAAATCTTTATTTAAAAACAAAAAGCTCAGTAAGCCTTTTTTCTATTGATAAGAGACTTTCAAAAGCAGAGGATTTCACATTAGGGAACCTGGGGATGAGGACCTCCAATAAAGCCCACACTCACAAAGAAACCTGAAATGCTCAATGGGGTATTGACCATTTCCACACACACACCCAAAATAAATGCCCTAAATATAGTTATTTCTGCAGTTGGTGCGACTAACAATCGAGCCTGGGGGCAAAATTTAGGTGCCCAAAGACAGTTGAGGTCACTCATCCTTTGTTTAGAGGACAGCAAGTATACTACTACAAAATATAACTGAATGACAATGGGGAAAATACATTAAGAGAATCATACATGGTTGAGAATTTCAAGTGATGAATATGTATTAATACTGACATTCCCAATTAACATTTAAGGAACACTCATGTCAATCAATCAATTTTGAACTACAGTCTACAGCCTGCTCTTATAATTGCTGCTTTTCACTTTTACATGTTGATCGTATTTTGGGGTCCATCGCTGCCACTGTGCATTCTCTGGGGAATTCCTTTTTACATTATTGTAGATTGGGTGGAGTGGTGTTTTGTTTTTATATTTTATGTTTATGTTCAATATTGGAAACTGCAGGGTAGTGGCTTGCCCCTAGATGGATGGTAGAGAAATTTAATAAAATAAATTTCAAAAGATGCAGTGATTCAAGCATTGGTTTGGGAGTTTTATTTATGAGATACTATGATATAAATGGCCAAAGGGTACAAGTGGCAAGACTGACACCAGGGAACTGAGCTTTCTCCATCCGGCTTGCCTCACCCCCACCACTTTGGGGCCTCATCACACAACACTGCATGCAGAAAGTCCTGGAAGGATGGAGACCACAACTTAAAAGATCTGAGCATTCTCTCTGACTTGCCTGACCCCAACCACTCTTTGTAAAAAGATTTTTAGGTTAACAGGGGACCTGAAGGGGGAATAGGAACTTTTACCTAGTCAGTGAAAAACAGGGAAGAGACTAAGAGTAGACTGAGGCAAGAGTTGCCACAAGTTTTTAGTCTAACAGTGGAGAGCCCATGTTGCATGTGTGTGGAATCATGATCTATCTGGATTTTTCTCTTACGTAAATTATCTTTACACCTGTGTTAGAGTTTAATCTCATTCCTTCTAAGTTTACACTTCTGGGTTATGCAACTTTCTTTGTATTTATTCAAAACAGTGTTTTTATTCTATTATATATTTATCTGTTGATGTAATAGCCTCTTGTAATAGTTTTTAATTGCTTATGAATTGTCATTATTTGCTATGTTACAAGTTGTGTCAGGTACTATTAGTGGAAAAGCGAAGCACATATATAAATGATGATGATAATATAAATAGGACCAGCTACTTAATATTGTGCAGCAATGACTAAAAACAACAACAAAGACAAGAGTGTACAAAAGTTGAACTACCCATTTCTATAAGTATTAAGGCTCATGACAGAGTATGATGATATATACACAGTTTGGTGGGGCAGATGCTTCTCAGTAAATAAGCTAACTGTATGTATGCTTACTCAGAAGCAGATCTGACTAAGATGAACAGCAGTGCAATCCTATGGACATCTACACAAAAGTAACTTTTACAAAGTTTAATGGAGCACACACAGGCAAAGGACTTTATTTTTTTTACTCTCATGATTAATTGGAAGTTTAATGGAGCACGCACAGGCAAAGGACTTCTTTATTTTTTTTACTCTCATGATTAATTGTTGTTATATTGGTAGGCTTGGATGCATCATCATTTCTGACTTACGGTGACCCTCACCAAGTTTTTAAAGTATGAGAGATGTTCAAGGAGTGATTTTAGAAGAGGTAGCCATGTTAGTCTATGCTAGCATATCAGGCAAAAACAAAAGAAAAATAAAAAACAAAGAAGAAGAAAACATTGTGTCACCTTATGTTGTGGACTATCATCACCCACCACTTAGTTTCCATGACAAGGTAGGGATTTGAATTCAGGTCTCTTGAGTCCTGGGTTCAACACTCAGTCCACTAGATCACAATGACTGCCATGCTAAATTACAGCTGCATATGTTTTGCTGGTATTTCTTCAATAGCGACTACTTTTCCAACAAAAGCATTGTACTTATGCCACAAAACTTGCTACTATACCAACATAACTACCCTGTTTCCCCTAAAATAAGACTTAATTTGAAAATAAGCCCTAGTATGATTTTTCAGGATGCTCATAATATAAGACTTAATCCAAAAATAAGCCCTAGTTAAGTGGAACCCCGCTCTCCACCATTGTGCAGCAACCAGAAGATGACATGACTGTATTTGAATAAATGTAGATGGTTGCACATGACAGAAATAAGTATCCCCTGAAAATAAGCCCTAATGCATTTTTGGAGCAAAAATTAATAGAAGGCTCTGTCTTATTTTCAGGGAAACAGGGTAAGAGAACTTCTGCCAATTAATAGGCACAGGGAAAAGAATAGAGAAAATATAGTACATAACATTTTACTATGAATGCAGGGGAGTGGGAGATCTGTCTCCGCGGCCCAGTCCTGCAAAGCCCATGGACCGGCAGCGGGCTGCAGACCAGGGGTTGGGGACCCCTGCTATAAGGTACTACAGCATGTGCCATCTATTTCACACATGGTAGTGCCATAAAATGAACATTTCTATTAAGTGCTCCCTTTTAACAGTTCTCCAGTGGAGAAAAATCAACTCTCAGTCCATTACCAAGTTAATCATACTGCATACATGTGTCAGAAAAACTCAGCAAATATGGAGAACTAGCTATATAATTCCTTGGCAGACTCCAGTCTCATGTTTACAGGTTTTAGAGATCCTGCTATGAACATAGTATTTAAAAAGTACTGCCATCTACAATACAAAAATGGGGACTTGGACAAGGCGAGGAATGTTCTATTATGCCTGTGATTACTGATATTATTTCAAAGTCTAAGCTGTTTCTGCGCATTACTTTCATTTCAAAGCAGCTCACTGAATAAGAGTGACATAAATTTAAATCTTACCTTACTAGAGCCGCCACTGCCAATTTGTTTCAACACAGAATACCATTTACCTTTAATAGCAATACATTCATTTGATGGTGTAGATGCTGAGATCTGAATGAAAAATAATTTATGCATGTAAGAGAATAGATATTAGGTGCTTTGTTGATATTCCCAATCACTGCTTCATACAGTTATTTTTGAATGTGTACATATACATACAATCCTGCATTAAAACACTCGATTAAAATCAAGGTGTAAAAGCACTTTGCACTATGACATTTATACTGAATATGTGAAGATATTGTAAATTAAGAAATATCTTACGTCAAAACTGTATCTCAATTTATTGAACATTATAACCTGAGCTGAATTTTTTACTAGGAAAAGGTCAGCATTTCTAAATGCAAGGCATGGAGGAACATGAAGAGGAAGGGCAACAATGGGAATGGATCTAGTTCTGTAAGTTAAAACAAGCTCCTAGCACCTTGTAATATGGGGTGAGCAATTAATTTCTATAGGGGGCCACATGAAAAATCTGAACTGCATTCGGGGGCCAATCCAACTTTACTTAAAAATAAAATGAAACAGTGATGTTATGATTGTTTTTATTTTAAACTTGTTAATCTCCACAAATACTAAAGAGGGTTCTTGCGGTTAAAGATAAGCAACTGAGCAACTTTAGACAAAAGCTATAAATGGTTTTGATGTTCAACTTGTTCACTGAGAGAAATCCAGTCTGTCTTGGGTTTGAACAAGTGCTTGAACACCGGACTGGAGCAACGACCGGCGGGTTGGACAGGAACAGCTCGTGGGCCGTATGTGACCCTCGGGCCACATTTTGCCCAGGTCTGTTGCAATATCAGGGTGAGATGGTACAGGATCTAACAGGGAAAGTGGAAATCAACCAGAATCTCTGATGGATTGAAGTTTCATGTGTTTCTAGAGGAACACCTGCAAATGAAAGGGCAGTACTGATGTCTGTTCAAACAATGTCATGCACAGAACCCTTGCTAGTTTACTTGTTCATATCGGAATACTTTATAATATATTTAATACACGGTAGTTGTTCATACTTGACAAGAACAAGATTTGACAAGAGTTTACATTTCATAGCAAGCAAAGTTGACCCAAGAATGCATATACTGATAATAAATTGACTAATATTTCACAGAAGATGTGGCACCTTATTCAATCATTAGCTAGAGATTTGGAGCCCAAATATGATGGAAGACCACACTTGCTCCATTCCACTGTAGCTGTTTTAAATACATGAAGGCAACAGCCTAAAAAGTCAATAGCTACTCTATTTAGTTACTTGTTTCATACAAACCAGAACCCATTTTTTTTCAAGTTCTGGGTTAAGTGATACAGCATTCTCCCCCTCTTAAGCTCACCATTTTTATATGTTCAAAGCCATGACAGAAGGGAATGAGACCTTATTACTTATTAGCTTCATTTACTCAGCTAATGACTGAATATAACTTATGTGTTGGAGAAGTCTCATTACATCATCCATGCTTTTTTATGTTAACCTAATTTCTTTCCTAACAGGTTCGCTTTAATATGCTATGCTAATAAAAGCAAGGTTTCATTCTGCTTTCAGAATGAAACCTTGCATTTTCCTTACTGTAAGCAGTAAGGATTTAATCATATCACTCTCATTCCTTTTGCTTCTGCTAGATAACTCCTAGATGAAAAGCTTATGTAGTTCTGATACCAGCTTAAGGTAGACATATTTCTTAATTGCTCACTTGTGCAAAACAAATTGTTCTGCCCAGTATTCCTGAACCAATTTTTTACATTATCTCACCATTTAATTTCAGAATAATGTATTTTGGAAGCACTGTTACCTGTATTCCAGTTTGCACTTGAAATTGTGTTGTTGGAGTACAAGGCTGCAAATAAGGAAACTGGTTGTACGGTATGGTTGTCTTTCCAGCAAGAAAATCATTTGTAACAACTGGAGTACGGAAACTGTCAGAAAAATTAATCATTAAAATCTTTTATTAATTGTTATAATCTTTGCATTGTGTTACAACACAGATCCTCAATCAACCATACCTTCAAACACAGGATTAAATTGGAATTTCCTTTAAATATAATATTAGAATGTATACTTTGAAGCTTCTGTAAAAGTTTATAATCTGCACTTCACTAAAAAGATATCCTAACTTGCTCTTGCATTTTAAAAGACTGACCATACAACATCTTACAAATCTGTATTTATCAGGAATATAAACCCGTTTCCCTGCACACATGGATGAGGAACTGCTATCTTCTTCATATCATCAACAGTAGATTTTCTGGTGTTCCCAAGAGATTCCTCACTGGGCAAAAGTGAAATCTTGTACAAAAAAGCTTCAGGTACACAACTGGATTGGTTATGCAAATTCCCCGATACCTTAAGTAGGAAGAAAAGGGTGATTTGTCTTGCTCTTGGCTGAAGGCAAGGAATCTTGTGAGGTTTGATAATTCCACGCTCAGGTGTCTCCTTATATCGAGACAAACTGAGGAGTATCAATAATTTAGCCATTATTCTTTCAACTCCCCAATTTGTACCCAAAGGTGGCTTTGCCTTAACAGAAACTGTTCCTGCACCGAATTTCTAGCACTTCAAATTTTCATAGATACCCTTTCTTAATGGAAGCTCTCTGTTCATATACCATAATGTTCCAGAAGGTCCTACAAACCTTAAAAGCAGCTTTTAATGAAAGCCTGGGTATAAGTAGCTGGAGAAGACTAGTCAAAAGCAAGTGCTCTGACTTATGTGAGCAGAGATGTTGGCAAGTAAGGCAGGAGTGGACAAAGTCTGCCTTTCCAGATGATTATCAGATTGCAGTCCCTCTCACCCAACCCTAGTGGTACAGCCGTATCCTTGCTTTAGAGACTTTCTTTATCTCGACATATAACTGCTGCAACTGAATGCACCGGCCTAGTGTTTATTAGATGACATTTCAATATTGTAAAGTATATTGAAGTTTAACACAGAACCCAAGATTTTTCTTCAACCACAAGCTTCAAATCAAATGTTGCATTTATTTTTCTCAGCTATTGAAATGCATAAGCTCTTGTTTTGTATACAAATAGCTGAGCAAATTCCAAAAGAAATAAACTTAAAATTTAAAAAAATAAAGCACCACACACACAGAAGTTACCAGGCCATATAGTTATGCAGTGTGCTGTTGCTTGGGGTTGTGCCAACATATGGTGGACAATTTCTTCTGCCATTGGTCTCTGGTGGTGAGCATTTCTGTGGAGTTGGCTCTGGGGCTGAAAATCTTTTAACAACTGGAAATTCTGGGAGTTCAGAATTTGAGGATTTCCCCTACAAATGGAGGGAAATAACAAATACTTATATCCAACCATTCATATTTGGCATACAAAGTCAGAGTGTAAGCTGAGGACTGATAAATTCACTTGGTCATTGTATAGCATCTTGCTTGCCTAAACTTTACTGCACACCTATGGAACAATATGTATTGCATTAGTAACTTCCTAAACTCATTATGCAAACTAATGTCTAAACACTAGGACAGCTCAAAATATAATAAAACCACTCTATTTATTATATTTTATTCTATTTCAAGTACAGTGGTGCCCCGCATAGCGAGGATACGGAAACATCGCTATACGGTGCACTCGCTAAGCGAGGCACCACTGTATTCTCATTTAGTGCCCAGTTCCAGCATAAAAAACATATTCAGCCTTGACATAGAAAAACTACTCAACACTCCCTGATCTCTTCCTATATGGGAGATATAGGCCTCACACTGGACAGAGGCAGTCCTGGGCTACAAAGGGGTTCTTGTATTTTCAAAATGCAGATGCAGAGTTTATTACCTTTTTATGTCTTTTCTTTTTCCCAACAAAACATGAGATCAATAAGACTGAAAACACCTGATTGCTCTCTGTACACTCCTCCTCTTTACATTTTAGACAACACACAGAGTGCTCTGCAGTATCATCGAGCCCCTCTCCCCTGCTTCCTGTAACATAATTATTCCTGATAAGAAGTTCTTAAACTCAAAAGTTTGCAGAGTGAATTTTGTGCCTTTCTCATTAGGCCTAATAAATGTATCACAACACGGATTGTAGAAACACTATGCTTACATACATGCTAAGGTAACAAATACAACCTTGCTACATAGTCATTTGTTGTCAATATCAGGCTCCATTAATCTACCTACGGTAGTATGCCTCCTGGCTATTAGATCTTCGGTAGCTATGTATGAACTTATTCTCTGGGTAACAATTCTGACTGGAGTGGTCAGAGACAAAAAAGCTAACAAGTACATAGTAGCTACTTCACCCTGAAAATTCAGATGGTTCAAGACAGGCTTTTACATTTGTCCACTAAACCACTATAAAGTATATTTTTAAAGTGCTAAGATGTCACTTGAGACTTAAAAAATCACACATTTCAAATCGATTACCTCTGAATTTCTTTTATGCATTGTTTCATGCTGAGACCATTTATTTCCAAATGCGAGGCAATTTAATCTGAGCTGTTCCTTCTCTTTTTGGACATTTCTTTTGGAAACAAAATGCTGCTTGCGCCATCTCCCCAGACAATCTGTTTCCAGGGCTCCTGGCTCCTCCTGCTGTTCTTCAACTTCTGAAACAATTTTTCAAAATAGACAAGATGGAAGCCCTAGCAGGATACCATGGAAAGACAGCCCCTAGAGACTGGATCTTATATGGTTTATGGAAGGTCTGGGTTGAATGACTGAATGAGGGGACACTGATCCTTGGTACTGAGGATATAGGTATATAGGCAAACTACAGAGTGAGGTGACAGAATGGCTGAAAGTAGGGCTTGTAACAAATCTTGGAGGAATGAGAATGGCTTTAGACAATTTTGCAGACGCTCCATTTCAGGTCTAGAATAGCATGCTTAGGGGCTGTTAAGAAACTACATTAAAAACTGAGTCTTTGTTTGCCTAAATTAACAGCTTTCCAATCTTTCCCTTAGTTTACCTCACTGTCATATGTGTCAACCATGCCACAGATACCTGTACCTTCATACTCTATTTGAGTGCAATCTGGGAGCACCAGGTTAAAGGCCAACGAAGAACACATGTATTTATTATACCTGCCCCACACAGGTTAAGACAAACCTTTTATTTTATTACTGTAAGTGGAATCATGTTTATTCTTCAGTGTTAGAGTTGAATTCATAGCTACGTCTGAGCTCTCTTCATCTGACAGTTGCAATTCTGTAAGATGTCTGCTTGGTAAACACTAAACAAACAAACAAAAATGGAAAGACCTAAAAAAAGGACACAAAAAATCCCCAATATAGACCTGATCTTAGTTTATACATAAACACCAATAAACTTCAGAGCTATGGATAAAGATTTTCAATCTGCCTTCTTTTGAAGGTCCCAGGTAGATAACAATACATCCTTGTAACAACTCTCCTAGTAAGATTCTAATCTTACTCAAGTTGGAATTATACATATAGACACTTACTCTATTGACTGAGACTATGAATCTGAATCGTAATTGAAGTCTCCCAGTCAATCTAGGAGCCAATGCAAAATTTCCTACTGTTATCTTCATTGCCAATTACAAGCTGCTTGGAAAGTGATTTTTTTAAAAAACTTTTTCCAAGTTGCCCGCTCTTGAATAGAATTGGGCAACGTCAATAATCCTCTGGCAAATTCCAGTCCCAGGACCTGCTGCAGATTTTCACACACACAAAGCATCAAATTTCATGGGCAACCAGGAAGAAAACTATTTAAACCAACAATGTAAAAATACTGTTTAAAGGAAACAAATCCTACGGCATAAAATTTTGTCAGCAATGTGGGAAGACAGAGCAAGCAAGCACTTGCATTAAAAGGAATTCTTTTCTGTTTGCTTCTGAATTTTGGCAGCACACATTTTGTCACTGAATTCTGGTGGCATCGTTTTGGGGCATGCGTTATAGTGCTGCAAAAATGGCCTTGAAGACTATAGTCTAGAAAGAACTGCAGTTTGCAAAGATACTTAAATCCTGATAAAATCTATCTTTGTCTTTAGAATGTGATCTGTGTCACTAAATCTGTGCATAGAAATGTTTTGACATTTGTGGGTGCAGCACCATGGCCAATTCCCATGGCAATACAATCAGAAGGTTTCCACACCCTTCATCTCTTTTCTGTTAGATAGAACCTCATGGCCTATTCCAAAACTGATTTAGGAGCTGGTGTAATACATGAGCAAATGGCCAAGTATAGTGAAAATCCCTCATTTCAACCTCAATTCATTTTGACATAAATATTAATCAAGCACATGTAGGAATACAAATTCAGTAACTTTTTAAGTTTAAGTCTTACTTGTATTTCTTAATCAGATACTCAAGTTATTTAAGTCTTCCTTCATGGTATTAATAAATTCTGTTTTGTCTATATGATTTGATTTAATTTCTCTTTCCTATCCGTTATTTCCTCAACTACACTATTAACACAAAATACAGTAGTCAAATTACCTTCAGATCCTCTGGCAGATACGAATCAGTTCCATTAGGTTTTGATTCATGCAATGGCAAGTGGTTCAAATTGGTATCAGATATTTGCCTGTTTCATCAAAATAGTAACAATCACTTAAAACAACAGCCATATAATATAGAAGTAACTGCACTCAGACATTAGTATGGGGAACAAGCTAAATTGTGGAGCTTTAAAAAAATCCCAGATCTCATTTAAAAATATTATGCCAACTCTCTGCAGAAAATATTGATCAGAAGAATAACAATAAACCAGAACAGATGGCTTCAGTTAAAAATTAGACAACATTGATTGGAATGTATGAGAGGGAAACATACAGCCTTTGAGTCACATGAAGTCCCTGGCCTTTATTAAAAGCCCTCTATAAGCTAGTACTTCAGATATACAGTGGTGCCCCGCATAGCGAGCACCCCGTTTAACGACAAATCCGCATCGTGATGCGGATTTTGCGATCGCAAAAGAGATCGCATTGCGATGCTCTAAATGGGCAAAAATTGCATTACGATGATCGGTAAGCGTTTCGCTTACCAATCTTCGCATTGCGATGTTTTACAAACAGCTGATCGGCAGTTCCAAAATGGCCACTGGGTAAACAAAATGGCCACCCGCAGCGGTTTCACGCAGTTTCCTCGCTTACCGGGTGGCAACAATGGCGGCCGGATGGAGGATTTCCGCATAGCGGTTTTCCCCCCATAGGAACGCATTAAACGTGTTTTAATGCGTTCCTATGGGGTTTTTTGCCCCATATAGAGAGGAATCTGCATAGCAACGTTTTTTCTGGAATGGATTAACGTCGCTATGCGGGGCACCACTGTATGAAGAAAGTAATTTGTCTCTGTCCTTGCAGTCCAGGAGAAAGGGAAAGGAAAGAAAAGGAGCACAACCTGCCTACTTTTTCCGTAACATGCTTACCACTAGCATATGGCCCCAACAAAATATCCCCAAGAAATACAGTTTTATAACCAGTACAAGTATACCTTTCGGAAACATGTTGAATGTCCATCTCTGCTGAAACATCTGTATCATCACTCTCACTCTCACTGTCACTTATTAATTTGATAGGAACTCTCCCAAAGGTACACATCTAAATGTTGAAACATAATGACAGTCAACAGATGCAACACCTCAGTGTATCCAACGGTATGTTGTGCTAGCTCCAAATTTCTTCAGCTTCCAAAAGCCCACTTTCAACCTTGCACAAACTTCTGATTATTTATTTCAACTGTAATCATTCAAACAACAGTGGTGCCGCACAAGATGAATTAAATTTGTTCCAAAGTTAATGTTGTCTTGCGAAAAATTTGTCTTGCGAAATGCGTTTTCCCATAGGAATGCATTGAAATCTAATTAATGTGTTCCTATGGGCAAAAAAAGTCAGAACAAAGTCAAATTTGGTTTACAAATGGTTTATTAAGTGCTCTTTAAAGCCATATTGTGCAGCTGATTTAAAAATTTGCAATCACAAAACTTCTAACATTTTAAACGTCATAGAAAAACATTTAAAATAAGCAAACATGAGGCAGGAAAAAAAATGGAAAACATTCTTCTTGCGAAGCACGGCCATAGGAACATTTGTCTTGCGAGTCATCAACCCAATTGTCAAAACCATTTGTCTTGCGAGTTTTTTGTCCTGCGAGGCATTTGTCTTGCGAAACACCACTGAATTGTGCAAGGTGTTATACAAGCCCTCCCTCAAAATTTTGCAAAACTCACAACTTAATTTGACTAATTGTTTATGCCAGTTGTATTCATTGTTCTGCTAGTGATTACACAACACAAGGAGAACACTATCACCCTTTACATTTTTCCCATTAGTGTAGCTTGTATATTCTGTGTAACACCAAAATATATATTTACCTGGTTAGGTTTGTTTGATGGTTTCAAGGGTTTGCAGCCATCCAAAATCAATTCAGTCTCTTGAATGGAATCATTCTTTTCTCTGAAGAGAGAAAACATGATGTTCAGTTCATGTCAAGGCAGTGGAAATCATAACAAAAAAATTTTATGCAGTATTTTATGTTACTTACTTGGGACAAAAGCTTGGAGCATTAGCAGTAACCTCCCCAGAATCAATCGTTTTATTCCTATTCATGAAGCTTCCAACAATCTTGTGAGAATCTAGGGCTGTGACAACATAATTTACCAGGAGACAAATTAAAGTTTTAGCCTAATTATCATTCTCTCTCTCTCTCTCTCTCATATAAACTCCCCATATATACATCACACTCATCTGGCTGCCAAGGCATGGTTAAACCACATATATTTGACAATTAAAACAAAAATAATATAAATCAAAATTAAGTATAAACATACCAACACAATTTAACTAATAGTGATTGAATGATTTTAAAAAAGCAAGGTGGCAGGATCGATAAAGGCCCGCCTAAAAACCATGTTTTTAACAACTGATTAAAAGTTCTTAGTGAAAGGGCCACTGAGAATGCCAGGTTTTTAGTCCACACTTTCCGGGCCTCTCCCAGGGTCAATACTCTCAACTGCCCGGCCTGGGAGGATCACATAGGATGGGCAGATCGAATCAGGAGGCGTTCTGCCAGGTATCAAGGTCCCAAACTGTTTCGGGCCTTATAAGAACACCATCACCTTGAGGCTGGCATGGAAACACACAGCTAACCAGTGCAGGGCGGCCAGAGTAGAAGAAATGTGTTGATATTTCTTTACACCACTCAGTCGTCTGGCCGCCATGTTCTGGACCTGCTGAAGTTTCCATAGCAGCCCCATGTAGAGAGCATTGCAGTAGTCTAAGCTCGAGACTACCAATGCATGGACCAACATGGTGAGGGACCCGATGTCAAGTTAGGGACACAGCTGGGTGATCCGCCTTAGGTGGAAATAGGCAGAGCGGACCACAGACACTATCTGGGACTCCACTGATCGTGTTGGGTCCAGGAGTACACCCAAGCTGCGAACCTCATCCTTTGCAGAAAGAGTCATCCCCCCAAAAAAGAAAAGGAGGCACCCAAACCCCAAACACTGGGGCCACCCACTGTGGTGTCCACCCTCGTGCTCCTTTGCTTGACCTTCAAGCCCCAGAGCACGCGAAGGCAGACAAACTTCACCCTTTTCACTTGCTGCCACCAGATGATCTCTAAATCACCATTACTTCAGAAAGACTCAGGTCCACACTTCAAGTTCTTTTAAATAAAACTCTGATTTATTGATTACATAGATTCATAAATATCTTCAGTAGTTAATCACATCTAAAATCCCCAAACTACAGTGGGATCTTGACTTGAGAACTTAATCCGTATTGGAAGGCGGTTCTCAAGTCAAAAAGTTCTCGTGTCAAATCTGCATTTCCCATAGGAATGCATTGAAAACCATTTGATCCGT